TTAATTGTATCCAAAAAGGATGGATAGTGGCAAATGTACCTAGATAATCATGCAATCAATAAAATTGAGGTGAAATCCAATTTCCAATTCCAGGAATCTATGACTTGTTAGGTAAGCTAGCGGGAGCAACTATTTTCTCCAAATTGGATTTGAATGGTATCATCAAATACGCATAAGGTTGGGTGGTGAATGGAAAATTGCATTCAAGACCCTCAAAGGTCTGTATGAGTGGAAAGTATTGTCATACAGAGTTTGTAATGCCCTTCAACTTTTATGAGACTTGGGAATAAAATACTTAAATCATTCCTAGGAAGGTTTTGGTAGTCTAATTTGACGACATTCGTGTTTTTAGCATGTCACTCATTGACCAAATTAAACACTTAACTCATATGCTCGAAAGCCTTCGCCAAGATCAATTGTACCTTGCAAGTTTGCTCCTTCTAGTGTGCACTCCTTGGTTTTCATACTTTCACAATGAGGAGTTCAAATAGATCCTCGCAAGGTTTGAGATATCATCAATTAGCGCAAACCACAGAACTTATTTAACACTCGCATCTTTCACAGCATATCAAATTTCTTTAAACAATTATTAAGGGGTTTAGTGTTGCAATGGCATTGATCACGGAATGCTTAAAGTCGACCACTTATCAATGGGCAGTAGCTCAGCAAAATGGTTTTGAAACTATCCAAGTAACACTAAGCTCAACGTCCGTGTTAGCATTACCAAACTTCGATGAACCTTTCCATGTCGACACTAATGCTTCTTCTATTGCCATCGCAGTTATCATTTCACAAGATCGACCAATTGAGTTCTTTAATGAAAAAAATAATCCTCATAAGGCAAAAATAGTGCTTATATGACCAGGAACTGTATGCAATTGTCTGAGGACTTAAATAGTGGGAGCATTATTTGCACCATAAGAATTTTATACTTTGTAGTGATCATCAAGACCTTGAGCACAGTAATAATAAAAAATATATTAATTGAATCCACACTCATTGGGTCCTCTTTTTGCAAAAATTCAACTTCATCTTGTGGAAAAGCAAAATTGGGTGGCCGATGCAATTGAGTCGTTAGGCTATCTTACTAATTCAACTACAAAGCCCAAATGAAAAACTTTAAAGGTATTGAAAGATCTCTATTTTTTCAACAACGAACTCATTGAAACATAAACACACTCCATAAATGACCATCTGAGTAATGATTTCGATATATGGCATGGTTAACTTTTTAAAGAAAATTTCTTATGTATCCCTAAGTCTTCTTGGAGGCAGCAATTCATAAAAGATGTTCACTGTAGAGGATTGGTTGCTCATGTAGGTCATGATAAAACCTAATACAACTATAAGAACGCTTATACTGGCCACACCTATGACACAACATTTCCAACTTCAATGAATGGTAAATTCTCAAAATACAAGTTTGTACTCTTCTCTTCTAGTATTGAATTCCATTTGGGAGGATTTGAACCTTGATTTTGTGATAGGACTACCATGAACTAAACATGGGGTTGATTTAATAATGATAGCTATGGACCGATTTTAAAGATGGCAGATTTAACTCCTTATAAAAAGATTTTTGATGCTCTCAACATTGTCAGCCTCTTTTTTTAAAAAAAAGTATTCGCCTACATGGTTTTCCATAAAGTCTCACCTTTGATCGTGATGTCAAATTTGTCAATCATTTTAGGAGAAAATTATGGAAGAGAATGGAGGCTGAGCTAAAATTGTGTTCAGCTTATCACACTCAAACCATGGAGAAACCAAAGTGATAACTTGCACTCTTGGAAACATGTTAAGGTGCCTTGTTCAACAACACCCAAGGCAATGGGAAAAGTTACTTAGCCAAGCTGAATTTGCTTATAACATCATGACCAATCATTCGACAATTTGATCCCATTTTAGCATTGTCAATGTTTAAAATTGCGCAATTGGGTATTGAGGCATTTTTCTTTCATGAGGCAAGGTATAAGCCTCAAGGTGTTTTGAGACGTGAGCCTCAAAATTCAAAAATTACGTAAAGTGAAAATAAAGGATAAAAGTTATTTTTGATATAATACCCAATTAATATGTTAAAGAATGACATATTAACTTTCTATTGAACTATAAAGTAATAAATTGACATACATATAAAACAAAAGATTTTACAAGACATAAAATGACAAGTGATAAATTACATGAAATAGAATTGAAATCTAAATATTACAAGAGCAAAACAACATGAAATATAGAAATTATGTATAAGTATCATACAACATCAAGTTCAACTACAAATTTCTTCTTTCTCAGTTTCTCATTCATCAACATTTAATTCTTAAAAAAAGCTGACAAAATTGGCAACTCAAAAATTTTTGCATTGTCATCACAAGAGGGGGTCTTTATTTGAAACATCGTCATAACAAATTGATCTCTCCCCTGCCTCATCATGTGGAGCTCAATGCCTCTCAATCTATTTTTTCTTCATTTTTAATCATCTTTCACTTTCATAAATATTTATCATTAATATAAAAATGTGAATAATACTCCAAAATTTTTAGAGGAGGTGGTGGTAGTGTGTCGCTTTCAAGTGATTTCAGGCAGTGGCTACGGCAAAAGCCAGTGGGCTGGAGGTCGAGGCAGTTGAGAGGAAGTTGTTGCACTTTAAGCTGCATGAATGCATGATTTGTTCGGGGCTTTAGTTTAGGATTTAGGTAAGGTTTGATAAAATATATATAAATCGGGTGAGACATACCCCTCACGCCAGTAAGGCGATGCATGTCTCAAGGTAGGCCTCAGCCAAGCTAAGGCGCAAACCTCATAAAAAAAGCTCGAGGCATAAGCCTCGAGGCGTCTTTCACTGGAATTGTGTTGAGGCGGACCTCAAGGAAAGCATCATATTGTGCAATTTTAAACTATGGTCTATACCAAGATTCTTAACCATCGTAATGATCTTATTGTTATGTCCAAATGCCAAAATCTAACAGCTGCCAAGATTGCTAAATAATTTGTTGAAATGTTACATAAAACTGGAAGGCGCCAATGACAATTATTAACAACTAACTAATGGTCACCGTCATTGCAGAAATTTTCAACACCTGTAACCTTGTAATGTTGCAATTGCATTAAGAAAAATTCCCAACCAGCACACTTCCAAATTTAACCCACAAAATATCAGTCCAATCCTTATCTTGCAATGAATCAACGACAACGCCAATGTTGTTGATCTCCCTCCTAAATTTCTCATTTTATCTGCCTTTAATATTTTAGATATTTACACCTACATTCCACCAGATGATGCTACAATGTCACTCATCTCGTGGATGTGAGCTCTTCCGAGCCAGAGGACCCTTGATGTGGCTCATTCCCTACTCTAGCATATCTCCTTCCTAACCTTTCTTCTCACCACTTACATTAGCAGCATTATTACAATTTCAATTATATACCACGCATACCACTTTATTTATGTTTTGTTGAATGCAGCAGAGAATATAATATACTCATGTTTGTATATTATCAAGGAGCTGTAAAATGGGGCATAAAGAAAAACTGATACAATACATTTATTGTCACGATTCTAACATGTTTTAAGCCTTGTTCTACACCAAGACAAGTTCTGCATAAGCATTCCATATATTTCACGATGAGAAAATGATCAAAATGGTCTCTCAACTCTTTGTGAGGGAACAAAATAGTCTCCAACTCTTTTGAGGGACTAATTTTATCCCTCAAATCTTTAAAATGAGACATTTTTTGTCCAAACATCTAATGTTATAGCTAATGGTATTAAATGTAAGGGTATTTTAGACATTTTTAATTAAAAATAATTTTCAAGTAATTATAATTTTTATAAAAAAAATTTATTAAACATTTATTTAATAATAATTTTAGTTTTAATTTTAAAAATTGTAATCATATTTTATAAAATATGATATTTATTGATTTAGAAAAATCAAATACAAATAGATGTCATTTTCAACTTAGTCACACATATTTTGACTAAAATTTTTAAAATTAAAATTAAAATTATTCTCAAATTTTTTTATTAAAAAAATGTTTATAAATTTTTTTTAGAAAAATTATAATTCTTTGAAAAATTACATTTAATAAATTTTTAATTAAAAAATGACCAAAATATCCTTATATTTAACACCATTAACTCCAAAATTGAATGTTAGACCAAAAAAGTCCAATTTTAAAGAATTGAGGGACCAAATTGGTCTCTAAAAAGAGTTGGGGAACATTTTTATCTCTAACAAAGAGTTGAAGGAACATTTTGATCATTTTCTCATTTAGGGATTAAACCCATTCAACTTAATTCACCCATAATACATCTGAGGTGAGAAAAATTTCATGCAAACTCATTTGGTAATGTTCTGCTTCCTTTGATATGCTGATTGGTATGCATTGTTATCATTATTGTTATAAAGATAGACAAGATGCTTTCATATATTCCCCAGATCATGGTGACATAAGAGGAAAATATGAAATATGGTGCTTTCTCTCACATGCTTCATTTACAAAACTTTAAGGCATGTTACATTCAAATATAACCTTTAAGCTTTAACTATCTTGCAGTTCTACTTTCAGCTAGTTTCTCTTTAATAATTGAAAATAATTGAAGGCGTGTGTCAGCAATACATAAATGAAATTTATATTAAAAAGGGATATCCCCAGTCCATGAGGCTCCCACCAACATAATAGGCCCTTGAGAGGGTAGTTGAACTTAGAATTAATCAGGCAGTGTGTGATTCGAAACACTGAACCTCATGTTATAATGAGGGCTACCTAACTTTCCTATGAGCAAAACCTCTAAAACATAAACTTAAAACCTTAACCCTATGTAAATATTAACTAACATATTTTATTATTTATTCTACAAACTTAAATGTGCTCCGAAGAAGAGAGAGGGAGCAAAATTTTGAAAATGAGAGGTGATTAGGATGGCAAAGATCAAAATCTGAGCAGTAATTTACAGTAGGGTTTTATAGTTGAATAAGTAGCATTGCCAGAGTAATTCTTACCTCAGGTGACATTGTTCTCCTAATCAGAGGTTTATTTTGAGAATCTGCTGAGCATTCAGGCGGGTTCCACACAATAACACCTCCCCACATCTGAATAGCATCATTTTAAGGGTTAGGTAGTTGACTAGCATGAGCAAAAAAAAAAACATAGAGAGATCAGCACTTACAGGGGATATAAAACCATTGGTCTTAGAGATCTGTCCATTTGGAAGTTGTAAAAGAAGTGGGCATTCATTTCTTGATGGAACATATCTACAAAATCAGAATAATTCACAATCACTTCTCCTATAACAGATGACATCCAGTATAAACCAAAAAAAAAAAAATTTCGGTTTGAATATCAGGAAAATATATCGTAAAAATGTGTACAATAGGCACAAACTCAGCTATCATGTGACAGCTAAGTTCCAGCATTATCAAAAGGAAATTGTTTAATTTGAACATTAGAACATTTGCTGAATAATACATAGCCTGCACATTAATAAAATTACAAATACGCTACAACACTATAATCTATATAATGCAAAACAATTTTAAAAGTAAAAAAAGAGCCCAATGGTTAAAAAGGAGGATGAGGATTGATAAGACAGACGCCAAATAGTTGGGCTATGCCTAATAATGATGATGAATAATTGGTCTAAAATCAGCTTTAAGTTTTTATGGAAACCCAAAATACTTGCACTCTTATGTGTACATTCTAGTTTAAATAATACTTGGCTAGGTCTCAGTAAATTCCTTTTGGACTGAAAAGTACATAAGAATCATAACAACTAATTAAATAAATCAGAGTAAGATATGTGGCATTACCGTGGCTTTGATGGTAAAAGAGATTTCAATTAATTAATCCTAATTAGCTGTTCAAGCAAACATGATGTCATGATTATTAACATCTAAGAATCATCAAAGGCTGTATCTGCCAAATTCCCACCAGTTTTTATAAAGTCTAACACAAGTTGTAGTTCCTAACTCCAAGGTTAGTTTTTTTTTTTAAGGTATCAAAAAATTATGATATCACATTCTATCCTCCTCTCCACTCTTTGATCTCTCGCTCTATAAGAATTCCCAAAAACATCAAAACATTGCCCTTCATGATCGAGTTTAGACTGTAAAATTATATGCCTTCAAGGTGACAATAATTTTTTGTCTTAATTATTGTTGTTATTGTTGTTGTTATGAGTGGTTGGGAAGGAGCGCAATGAATATAATAGTCAAACTTTTTGCACAGCTTTGCATAACAATACTTTGTAATTTCCTAAGCCCATGCCAGATTGGATGATCACTTTGAAATCTTATATTTGCATTTAAGAGATTTGCTAATAAATTGTGTACGCAAGAAAAATCTATCTATTATATCATCGATATCCTTTGTAAATAGGCTTCCTAAATCTTTATAATGATATAAGGCATCATTAAATCTATTTTACATAGGCCAAACATGTGCTATGTCTACCCCAAGTGAATTTCAATCAACAAGATGCATCATCGAGGAATTTCATTTACAGGATGCCCTGTGCATGAAAAAAAAACAAATGAGTTATACAAAGAGGCATATTAAACTTGGCATTTAAAAAGCAAAGACTCATGGCTATTGTCATGATGGCATTACATAATTTCTTATACGATATCCGTCTTTGAAGGATTTTAAATTTAGCCAAAGCATTGTGGATTAACTTATGCTAATCCCAAGGCAGATGAGCATTGCATTGGCCAATGCATTTCCCAAACAATAATGATAAGTATGTCATTGACGGAAAGAAGGTAGCAACATGAAATGTATAATCCTAACAAATATCATCAAGTTAAAAGTTTGAAACTTTCATTAAATTAAAAGTTCAGAAAGCAATCAAATAATATGCAATATGTAAGCATATCCTAAGAAGATGCCTTCGAGCAGTGTAATGAAGAAAAGGACACCTTAAATTATTTTCATATTTCCTTGGTGCCAGGTTGAGAGGCATCAATTCTAAATTTAGCATGCAAGACAAAAAGTTAGAACTAAGGAGCAAAAGAAACAATAAGGAAAATAAAAATGTACACCACAAATTGTATAATTTTTGAACGTCCAGCAGCAGCAATAGAAGTGTCCAAATGCCATTCATTTGAATTTACCTGTCAATCACCTCAATGATCTAAGAATACAGCTTAAATAATGAATACAGAGTAAACAATAAACAAAATCATATAATGATCTAAGGATATGGAAGAGAATTACTCTACAATAAAAAACCAAAGGTCCGTTACAATTCAAAACGGAAGAGATATGAACCTATAAATGCTAAAATAAAGGAACTAATTGATGAAACCAAACAGTCTTTAAGATAGAGTTGTCAAAAGGGTGCTTCTAAGTGCACTTTGAATCTGCGATATGTACATATCATCATGTTTCTTGAGCTTCGCACTTCAACACAGCGTATCTCATAATAATGACTCACGAACTCAAATCATAGGTCGCAAGCAGTTCATTTAGCAAGCTCAACATGTTTTGGGGTGAAAAGGGTTTAGATTTTATGGTCCAGCTGGAGTTCACAAATGTTATAATTCTTCTTATGATCGTCATAGATATTTTCTCTCTTTATTCATGAATTTTCTCTCTTTATTCATGAATTTTCTCCTTCACATCACAATCCCAGGTACCATACAATGCCACACAAAATAAGAATCACAAGACGCATATGACAAGCAACCACAACACAACAAAAATCAAGAGAAACAAACAACCTCACACGACGTAGATAACCTCAAACATAAGCGACCTCTCAATTTGAAGCATTGAAAATCTTTTTTCACTTCAAATTACATCATCAATTCAGCCTTTTATATTTGGGAATCCTTGTTTAACAATTCAAATTGATTCTTCTAATAGGTTCAAATACCGGAATGCTCTCTACCTGCAAACCTTGTCTCTTCTCAAAGATAATTATAACAGAAAATAAGTTCTAGCAAGCTCACCATATGATAAATAAACTTGATAATAGTTCCTTAATATGTGCATATTAAAATACACTGTCATGAACCTTAATATAAATTAATAAAACACATAGAGCTCATAAAAAACTAATACAAGGAGCAAGGCATTTGGGATACCATTGAATATTTGAAAACACAACCATACATCTTCTGCAGCTTTGGGCATAAAGAATATAAAATAACTCATATTTTAACTAACAGGACATGAGATTATCAAAAAAATAAACATCTTAGAAAGGCCTTATAAAGGCAAAAGTAGATGGCTGCTCGATTCCCAATTACGTTTAACTCTCACCTAATGTTCCAAGAGTTATTATCATCATATTTAATGATTGGTTAAAAAAATATAAAATAAGGATAAAGGCAAAAGCAAATGGATTAGGGAATACAGCCTTAAGAAGATGAATACTCATTTTTTTCTTTTTTTGCTAGGTCGGTCATATGGTCCGAACCTCTCATGGTAGTCATTTGAAATGAGAAGGAAGAAAAATGGAAATGAAGAGGAAACTTGCAGTCTTGGGTTTGGAAAGAATGCAAATATCTTGTTTAAAAAGGAGATGACTTTTAGATTTAAGAGGAAGAAAATATTTTGTTTATAAGAAAACCTGCAGCCATTTCATTTGGGAGGCAGATACCAGCAACCATTCGATTTAGAAGTTAGAGAGCTTAGAGCCGCTGGGTCTCAACCTCAATCCAAGTCCTCTGGTTGCTGATTTCACTCGAATCGCAAGCTATCGATATCCTCTTGGCATCGCTAAGAGCAGAACACCTCTTATATAGGCTTTAAAAAAAAGGGTAAAATTACCTAGCTGATCTGCTCGTTTTTCTGCTCTAAAGTAACATAAAGCTGTTTTTATCTATTAATTACCCATCCTACCCTCATTGGGCCATAATCCAAAGGCTGAAATTTGAGCCTTGTTATCCTTGATAGCTTAAAATAATTGTTACATGAAGCAGAACGCAGGAAAAGAGATGTAGAGACTTGATTCAATTTCATCCCTCAGATTTGATAAATAGCTGATTTCGAAATAAAGAGAATTGCCAAAATTGGGAATATGCAAATTAGTTTAATTGATTTTAAATGAATTTCATTTAATTAAAATCCAATTTAGTTTCTTTTAATTTAGCTTAAATCAATCAAATAGACTTAATGTTTTTTAATAAATTTTTTATTTAAATCGGCTTGATCTAATTAAATTCGAGTTGAGGGAATTTAATTCAAATTAATTTCATATGAATCGATTTTCAATTTGACATTAATTTGAGTTGAGTCAGACCGATTCAGTTCAATCGAATTGACTCAATGCGATTCAACTCACTTTAACGGAATTAACATCAAGTTGATCAATCAAATCGATTGAAATGAGACAACTTAACATAAATTACTCGGGTCAAATAAACTAATTTAATCCAGACGATTAGAACAAATGCGTTGAAGAGCAGGCAAAATTCAAACTAGCTTCTCGGGGCTTATTTAAATTGAAATTGTTTCGGGTCAAGATTAGATTGAAACTGGATTTGGGTTGTTTCAATCAACTCGAGTTAACCTATCGGTAATATTTGGCCTAATTCTAGGTCGAGGAAGCTAGATTAGAGTTTTAGGGGTCTTAGGCCAGGTTTGACTTAAAGTTGTTTAGCAAGCTTATTACCTATGTAAGGTCACTAAGGAGTGGCCCAAGGGTTTTCAAGCTCTCTAAAGCTTGCCAATGCAATGTCGTAGGGTGTTCACCTAAGCGAAATCCTGGATGCGCTCTCTAGGCTATACGATAGGAAAGCCTACGTTCTAGAGAATTCCTAGATGAAAGGAGACTAACTTCATCAAAATGAGGTCAACAATGCAATCCATAGTGGTAGAGTTTAAAACTTATAAATGTGGATGCATGAGCAAATAACATTTGATGGTACAAATTCATGCACATCTATATTTACATGTATATCTTTGCATGCATCTACGTGGCTTGAAATTACAAAAAGATAACGTTGTGATGTTGTCAAGGTGGTGAGTATCAAGAAGGGAAAGGATGTGGATTAAAATGTTATCATAGAATGTTAAACCCTATTAAAATTGAAGTAAACTCAAGACATCAAGGGCATAGCAATATTGGAAGGTCATGACTTTATTCTTTGAAGTTCATAATAAATAGATGAGTTTGGAGCAACCCGTTCATCCTTTTCTGGGATTCTGGGAATATTAAGCATTAATAGCACAATGAAGTAAACAGTGAAATTCAGCCAAACCAACTAGGCGCAAGCCACTCAGAGTTAAAAAAATAATTAAGTTTGCAATAGAATAAGAACAATATAAAGCCAGTAGCAATGAGACAAAGACAAATGTAACAGTTCACCAACCTATCAATCATAGATAAGTGGTACAGGATCATAGTAACTGTTCTTAACACCACCTAAGAGATTGATACTATCTAAATCTATGTTCATTCATCATCATTGCATGTATACGAGAAATCAACCATATGAATCCTCCAACATTGATTGTTATTGAGTGCTATATAAGATGTTAACTTTAATCTATGCAAATTTATGTACACAATCACTAGCTATCTTTCCTTTGATCTACCTACTTTGCTCACTATTTCTTCAAGTTAATTCTTTGTCTGCCTTACTATTTGCCCTAAGTTGCAAATGTTCAAACAAGCTAAATTCATTTTCATGATGTTGTCCTCAATAGATACCACTCTTATCCAAATTTATATTTACATTCTCATTTCTAACACTCAATAATTTAATGGACACCACCTTTTTTACGAAACACTCTATTCCACACTGTTTTGAAAACCGGACCGGACCGGCCGGTTCAACCGTGAACCAGTCTGGTGGCCGGTCCGATCCAGCTTCAGAACCGGAGCAAACCGGATTGAACCGGCGGTTCAACCGGTGAACCGTTGAACCGGTCCGGGTTGGAAAGAACCGACCGGTTCATAAAAATATTTTATTTTTGTTTTAATTAAAATTTTAAAAATATATTTTTGTTTATTAAAATTTTAAAAATATTTTTATTAAATATGATGATTAATTTCATCATAATACATGCAAGTTATCTTAGATACCTCACATAATTTATTTTGCAAAGAGAGTGTACTTCTCACTTTATAAAGGGTTCAAGGAAACATCTTCAAACTCCCTCTATGATGTGGGACTAAAAAAGTTGCATTAATAGATTATTCTTATAAATATATTATTCTTAAATGATATTTATATGTATAAAATTTTATTATATATTTTAAAATTTTATAAATATTATTAAATGCTCATATACTTATATTATATAATTTTTATGTTATTAATTTTTAATAATATTATTATTTATTACGTCATCCGGTTCGACCCCGGTTCGACCACCGTGAACCTCTCCCTCTTCCGGTTCGTTGTCCGGTCCGGTTTTCACAACCTTGCTATTCCATAAAACATAGACAATATAATTGCAAATTAAAAAATAATTTTAAATAACCACAAAAAAGCTACCATTGAAAAATACTCCCCATGTGATTTTACACATTAATTAGTAAGTTTTAACTTTAAGAATTATGTTCTCATTTATATCCTTGCCCCCTTTAATAAAGATAGATTTAAAATAATTAAACATGTTGAAATTTATATATCAATTGATTTTCCAACTTTATTGATTAACAATTATAAGTTTAGCATTCATTATAATTGCATCCACCACACTGAATTTTTTTTTAGTAATTCTTGGTACTTAACCTTATAATTTTTCCATTATTTTTTAGTTACAATGTTTCCTTAAGAGTTCTAACCTATCAAAATTATCATCAATAAATACCATGTCAAAAGTTCATCATCTTGAATATCATTAGCAATTAGTTTCATAACCAACACAAAATAATATAAACATATTATTGATTCTTAATATAACCCCCCACAATTGGAAACTCTTTATCTCAATGATTTTTTTATGTTGAACACTACAGATCCATCATACATATCTTGATTAATTCCAAAATGCAAGTAAAACGCATACTTACTTCTTAGTATCCCCAAATCAACTACCATGGTACTTGTTGTTTATCTTTTGAGATCAACAGAAAACTCAAAGGATCCTCGTATTGCTCTCTATACTTTGTCATAAATAATCCTAACACAAAACTATCTCCATAATTGATCTTCTTGGCATATAATTCAAGTGATTATATGAAATAAATATAATACATTTAAATTTCTTTCATTACAGTTTAGTTTAATTCCAACATATGAATCATAAGTTTAATTTATCCATAACTATCATATTTCTTAGCAACACCTTTTCTTTAAATACTATTCTCAGCACTTCTCTCATCATTTGGAATCATTGCATCTTAGACCCTACAGCTTTAATATGAAGTACATAAATCGAGCATTCAACTTCATTTGGAATCATTTATTCTTAAACCCTAAAGCTATGATGTGAACCATTTAAATTAAGAGTTCATCTTCAGGCAGGAAACCAAAAAATGGAATTTAAATTGGTATACTACTACAAATAAAACAAATTACGTATATAACACTCAAATCTAAATATTACAGCTCCATCCAAACCTTCTCCACCTTACAAAACCACCAATTCATCTCATTTAATTCAAAAGCTAATCATGGTTGGATTAATCACACCATGAAGACATGACATGCATGCATCTATACACACATGAATACATGGAATACATCCACTTTTTCCCTTCATCAAAGTCACCACTCCAGTGTGGTAAGAATCCATCAGTAGCTGACACGACAGGTCTAACACCTATTCTTTCTGATCTGCATTCATTTGGGGAAGGGTGCAGGCAATGCCAACCCCCTTCTCTCCCTCCCCCTCCCTCTATATTCAAGAATTGCAAAACCATCCCTTTTTTTTATAATTTTGTAGAGCAAAAATAAAACCATCCCTTATATTTTCCGATAATCATAATTAGGTTTTTATAAAACTCAATAACCACACCCTTTTTATTTATTTGATTCTCTTCACAATGGATCCTTGTATTGCTCTCTATACTTTTTTCATAAATAATTCTAACGCAAAACTATCTCCATAAGAGCTCTTCAAAGTATATAATTCAACTAATTCTAATGACATCAACATAATTGATTTGTCTTTCTTCCATTACACTTAATAAAAACTCCATCATATGAATCATAAGTTTAAGTTCTTGATAATTATCATAATCCTTAGCAACACCATTGCTTTAAATAATATTATTAATACTTCTCTGATCATTTGGAATCATTTCTTCTTAGACCAAAAGCTTTAATATGAAGTATATAAATCAAGAGTTCAACTTCATTTGGAATAATTTCTTAAAGCCTAATAGTATAATTTCCACCACATCAATCAAGAATTCATCTTCATGCAGGAAGCCAAAAAGAGAAATTTTAATTGGCATACTATTACAAACAAAAGAAATTACATATATATCACTCAAATCTAAATATTACTGCTCCATCCAAACCTTCTCCAACTTACAAAACCGCCACTTCATGTCATTTAATTCACAAGCTAATCATGATTGGATTAATCACACAATGAATACATGACACGCCTGCATCTATCCATACATAATACATGGAATACATCCACTTGTTCCATCCATCAAAGTCATCGCACCACTCTCATGTGGTTACAAGCTGTCTGTAGTTTTCAGGACAGGTATAAAAACAATTCTTTACGCCTTAGATCACTGCCAGTGGTGATCAACATTCATTTGGGAGGTGTGATCAAGGCCAGTTCCCCTTCTCCCCCGCCCTCAATATTTAAGAATTGCAAAACTATCTTTTATATTCTTCAGCAATCAGAATTAGGTTCTTATATAATTGAATAATCACACCCCTTCTCTTCTTTTTTTTCTCTTCACTCTATAATTCCTGCCCTCCCCACCCCCCAATCTCTTAAAAGTTTAAATTAGCTTGTAGGGTGAAAATGAAATCATACTTTTCTTTCTAAAAATAGAAAATGAGCACTAACAATATATTCAAATGCAACAACATATATAACGATTAAGTTTAGAACAACAAGCTTGTAGCAAACTTCAATGAAAATGAACTCTATCTTTCAGTTCAGCAAACATACAAAGAAAGGAAGATCCCCAATGCCGCATATGTTGCCACCAGACTTATCATCCCAGTTACAAATGGATGACTTCGGAGTGTGGTACAGAACCTGCAGATAAACTAGAAAGAATCTAAATGAGAGGAACTCTATTTTACAACTGTGAGTGCAAATAAGCACAGTTAATCGTGAGTAGAATCTTGATATATCCACTTATGTAAGCACACTCTCACCTGACTTTCTATATGTATGTTTGCTACCGGTGCTAAGGCCTGCACAACTGGAGCCAACATAACCTCATCTATCTTTTGAAAATTCCTGGATTCGAATGAAATAGAAGCCAGTGTCATTAAACAGGTAAGTACAAAGTATTTACATGTATTAGCAATGCACTTCCAGATCTGGATATTTCTAGCACTATATGCGAGGAATTATCGATTAAGAGGGAAAGGGGGAAATTTTGTTTGAAGACCGATTGCTTATCATTCCCCTTCGTCGGATGAAAAGACTACCATAAGAGCTTTCAAGGAAATCAACCATACCAGTCATAAACCCAATCATTGGGTTCAGCATTCAAAAGACTGAAAGATAGCACGACGCTCCCATCCAATCCAACCGGCACAAACTCTCCCTTCCTCTGCGCTACAAACTCCTCCCTTCCTCCATTCACAAAATACTTAATAAAAATATTTGCAATCAACAAGGCTGCATCATTCTCCCCAACGTTGCCCTCAACCCAAGCATGTCGATGCTTGCCCACCACAATCCGAACCCCCTCCTGCGCATCGCTCTCCCCCACCAACACAGTGTAAACCTTCCCAACGCCAGAACCCATGCACCGCCCACCCTTTCCAAGCGCTGCATCAAGCATTTCATCGACAGCCTCATCATTGTTCCTCAACCCCAGCGAATCAACTACCCCACACCGCCAAAAGCACGGATCGCCCTCGCCAATGCCACTACGCGCGCAGCCACCGTTGCCTGAATCAACCGTCACTGAGACAGCATAATTCCTCCCACAGCTTCCGCAAGTGAGGCTTCCCTCGATTCTTTTATCCACCTCGTCGGAGATGAGACGAGCTAGCCGGTCAGCGCTGTCGCCTATACCTGGGCGTAGGAAGACGACCTGAAGTCGGCAAGGCGGAGAGGGTGGCTCCTGGAGGAGGCGATAAGAGAGAGAATCGATGGAACTAAAGGGCAGCGGCGACCGGTAGATTTCGGTCGATTTGAGGAGAAATGGAAGGCCTGCGTAGATAAATGATAGATAATATAAGAGAGAAGATAGGAAGGAAGAGAGTTAAGGACAAATCCTAGCACTTTGGTAAGAAGAGAGAACTTACCGGCAAGGAAGGGGAAGAGGACGGAGAGGGTCACCATGAGACGCTTAGTCCCTGGCATGGTGGATCTCCGGCTGGAGGCGCCGCTGTCTGGAGAATCAGGGGTAGGGTTAAGAGGCTCGGACTCGGAAATTTCTGCCATTGTTGCGGCAGTGAGTTTCTCGTGAGCGGGGAGAGATCAGTTGACTCTGAAGCAGAGACAATTAGTGCCGTCGGCTCCCGTCGGCTCACCCTACTCTAATGCGCCTTGGGTTTGGAGGGAAAGTGTGACTGCACATCCTGCACGTAGGATTTACTTCCTGTAAATTAGGATTTAGAAAATTAGGCAATTAAATTTTCAAAATTTTTTGGCATGGTATTAAATATTAATTAAATTTGATTCTCATAAATTAATTGACTATTTATTTTAAATATAAGTTTTTTTAAAATAAATTTAACTTTGTATTGCTTTGTGGTGTAAAGTAAGTAGTAAAAAAGCTAAATGTTTTTTAAAGTTTTTTTTTTTTTAAGAAAAACATTTTATTTTAAAATTACAAAACTATTTTGAGCCCGTGTTTAGCCTACTTATCGTGATTTTAAGGGATGAATTGTCAAAAATACCCACCTTATAACTTTCCCCACATTGCCTCTCCTTCTCTACTTTCAAGCAAATTTTGCTTCTAGTTAGTCTCAAGCTCGTATGGATAAATTATTTGGTGCAGAGTCCGGATGTAGCTTTGCTCTGGACTCCAATAAAATCTTGACATGTGGAAAATGAATTTCATTTTCTATTTTTGTCTTGTAAGCCCGGCCAATCCAACTCTACCCAGAGTTTTTTATTTTGAAAAATGGGTTTAAGGTTGGCACTCAATTTTCAGAAAAACCAACGAAAGCTCCCAAATCCAAACATATAGAACTTTTGTTGAACTTTTGATACTTATTGAGAGAGAAAAAATGAGGAACAACCGATGAAGATTGAGGAGAATGTTGCATTCTTTGCGGATATTGCATTCTCATAGGACGCAAAGGCTGAAAGGAGGTATGCAAACATCCATAAAAGCGAAAGTTAATTTGGTTGAAGTTGCTACAAGTTGCAATTAGTTGGTAATTTTTCTATTTCATCCCAAGTTATTATAAGGGTTTCTCAAGTTTTTTGAATTTTTTTACATGGGTTGCGTTGTGTGGATAGAATGCTAAAGCTAAAACAAGCGCAATACTGGACTGGGCTTTAGCTGTACAAAAAAATGCATCAAAACCCAGTAAGTATATATTAAAAATTGCATATTTACTGTGCTTTTTAGCCGTTATGTGGATAAAATTGGGCTCATTTATTGTTTTTTGCTTATACAATTTCACTATGCTTTGATGAGCTTTTACTGTGCTTTGATGCCCTTTTTTTGCACTTTCATTGTGCTTTTACTCTGTATTCACTGTGTTTTTACTTCATATTGACAGGGCGTGTGTAAGGATGAGAAAGATGCATGCAAGGTTTATTGTAGTCATGTCCATAATGTTGTTTTTAATATTCACATGGATCATCACAATTACTAGTCAAATTCCATAAAGATAAAATGCAAGGACTTTGTTTGTTCAAAATATGGTTTCAAGAATAGAGTTTATCTAAATTCTCAAATGAAATATCAAAAATAAAATAACATAATAGGTTGTCCAGCTATGATTAGGTTTATAGTGGATAAAGTTGGAAGTTGAAAGGTGAAAAAATTTATTAAAACCCATAACTCAACTGCTTGCGGGGCGGGTATGGTTAACCTGAATCTAAATCGAGATGGGTTCAGGTTGGAAAAGTGACTTGAATCCCAAATCGGGTCGGGTAAAAAACTATCAAGTTAAAGTTGAATTGGACTCGAACTCGGCCGGTGAACATGATTTAACACCATGATTTCGCTCAACTATATGGCTGAGAGAGAGAGAGAGAGAGAGAGTGAGGGGGGAGAGAGATAGTGGAGAGATTATTTTTTATATAATATTATTTTTTTTAATAAAAATTTAAATTTCATTTATCTTAAAATAAATAATAATTATTTATTTTTGTTCATTTTTTCTAATTAATTATTTAATTAATTAAATTACCAATATTAAAAATAATATTTAACTTATATTTAAAAAATGATATTTAATTAAAATTATATAAAAATAATATTTTTAATAATATTATATAAACAAATAAGTTTAATATTATGCAAAAAATAATCTCTCCAGTCTCTCCTCTATCTCCTTCCTCTCTCTCTCTTTATCTCCCCCCTCTCTCTTAGCCATACAATTTGGTGGACAATGTCAAAGCATTTGGAGAATTTTTTTTAGTTTTGTGCAAAAATAGCCAAATGTTTTGGCATTTTCTTCACAAAATCTGATTTCACCAAATGGTTCAGGGAATAAGCTTCATCTCAAATTATAAATTACTTGCACCATAATATATGGTTTATTTTTTGGTGGTGATGGTAGGTGAATATTTTTTTACTTGACTTAAAGTAAAAAAATATAGTATAAAATCTAATAATGATGATGGTTGGTGGCCGGCCGTGATGGTGGTGGTCGATGGGGGGTGGACGGTGGCGGCCAAGGATGACAGTTAGCGACATCGGCTAATTGACAATGTTTTTCAGTAGTGGTGACAATGTTTTTCAGTAGTGCTGGTGGTCAGTGATCAAACGTTGGTGGCGGCTGGTGATCAACCGTTGGTGGCGATATCAGTTGTGAGTGGTGACAACGGTTGTAATGACAAATGGGTGATAGCAATGATGATAGACAATGATAAGGATGATAAATTTATTATATATTTAAAAATCATACTAATCCAAATAATTTCAAATATATCAAACTTATATTAGAACATATTCTAAATACACAACAAGATTTCAGCGTTTTTAAATCAAACAGCAATATTCACCAAATCCTGAAATACTTTACACCCTCGAATTACATGTTTTAAAAAAATTCGCCGAGCTTACACCATGGAGCGTCACAACAAAGGCCTCTCGATAAACAAAATCAGGAAGATCAAAGGGGAAGGAAAGGTATAAATTCTGGAGAATATAAACACAATTACAAGAGAGTAATGAAGCGGCGCAAAGGAAACTAGAGCCGGTCCATTAAAGATTGGGAAAGCATTTTTTTTTATTTTTACCACGGAATCTCTCCTTAGGAATGCTTCCGGCCATCGTCTCGATCTTCCTTTCCCCCTTTTCCCTTCCTTTAAGATGCGAAGATCATGGACCCTTTTTAATGAGCCTAATCGAGAAGGAGATCATTGGAGCGGAGGATATAATAGCTTCTCTTGGACGAAGAGCTTGCGTGCGACGTCCGAAAGCAATTAGATTGGAGGTAGACATTTTCTTATTTTTTTGCTTATGTTCTAATGGTTCGATTCATCTCTCCGGTTTCTAATGAACTATGCAGGGCTGCTAAATGCTAGATCAGATAATGCATGCTAGATCAGATAATGCATAATGTGTAATATGAATGATGCTTATGTTTGTTATCCCCCATTTTATGATTTCTATGTTTCATTGATTTTTTTTTGTGACCTAATGCCGGGAAATGGGGTTTATCTGAACTCTTTTGATGTTAAAGATAAAATTGGTAGGTTGTTCGGTTCTGGTTCAATGTGCATTTTGACAATCAATTTTTTTTTTTCGCTTGGAAATATTTCTTTTTGCAGCTGAAAGGCATTTTTTTCTGTTTTTTGCCCAAAATTTATTATCTAGATTTAATTCCTTTGCTTTGTACATGACAATATCTCTTGAACTTTATAATATAAAAATTGATGAGCAGCTGGAGTGCATATTGTTTTCATATGACATATGCATATATAAATAATATATGGGATGAGCTTTTCTATCCTTACAGGGGAATTCATTCTCCATCTATTTAGATTTTGATGTCACTATCTTCAAATGTCGAATTAAAATTGTTAATTTGTTTTTGCATAATTAAAATTAAAGATATATCTGATTTCAAGAAAATTTAAGGTTGTTTAATCATCTATTGGTTGTTTTTTTCAATGTTTGGCCAGATTGGTAAGGGAAAATAATCTTGATTTCAAAGTATAAAGGCTTTGTGAAAGGATTTGTGGTGGTGGTTGAATGAGAATATTATTTTTTCTATGGTTATGTTTAAGTCACATACTTTATAATTTATTGCTCACTATTAAAAAGAAAAACATATATACGAGGCTTTCAAATGTCGAGACTTTAAATGCATGGGTTGTTGGTGATGCTTGCATGTATGGGACTGATTTGATTCGAGAAATACCTTGGTAGAACTGAACTTTTTAGAGGAATTAATCTATATATTTTTGACATGCTTGTTGAATGATTAAATTATTAAAATGTTGACACTTGATAAAATAGTAATTCTTATATTGCAGATCACAACCACAAGTGTGATCTTGAGTTTTAAGACCATATAAAATGGTAGATATAAAAAAAATATAATCATTGAAGCCTACCAATTAGTATTTTGGTAGGCATGTATATATGATGCAGAAAGAAAAATCAATCTTAAGTCCATTGGATTGAGGGACCCACCGTTGTTGAACTTCAATCCTGATTCTTCCTTCTTCCTTCGTGAATTTTCCTTTGGAACTGCTATTCATGTTATGGCAGGTTATGCTCCACTAGCCACTCTTCAATTGGGATAATGCAGTAAATCATTTCAAAAGCTAATCAATGGCTCGCCTTTTTTATTCTGGCATGGAAACCATCAACGTTTCCTGCTTAAGTCATGCTGCAAGAACTATTAATCTTTATTCTTTACTAATTCCATGATTCATTGATTTGTCATTTTAAATTATGTATCAAGGGAACGGCATGCATTTTCTCTTGATGGGTGAATAGGATGAATGTCTAATGATGATGAAGGAAAAAAAGATGAAAAAATATAACATTCATAGAAGTAATGTAAAATTTGTTTTATAATAAATAGATTTAACACCTCATGCAATACTCAACAAGAAAGAATGAAATGAGACTTCATAAAGCAAACCCCAATTGGTGTAACAATGGATAAGGATGATGATAGGCATCTTTCTTTAACTAGTCATAAAATCTAGATGAGATCTATAATCCCTCTGAGAACAATTTTGATATTCTTTTTACAAAAAATGTAGTATCGTTTATTTTATTTTGTTCTTCTTTGATGTGTATCGGGATCAAATTCACTCAATATCTTTAAACTGATATCAAGTTAAAAAAATCCCCACAGTATTCACTTTCACTTTGATTCTAAAGTTTACATGTTTTCTATGAAAGGTTGGTGCTTTATTAGAAATGTGTTTGAGGATGGATCTATTGCATAAGAATATACCGCTTCAAGCCTGCATCAGTGCAACATAACACATTTTGTCTTATTCTTTTTCTCCTTTTCTAAATGTTCTTTTTGTACTGTAAAAGCAATGGCTGCCCTGGGAATTGACAAAAGAATGCTTCGAGAACTTGAGTCCATGGGATTCCCAACCATCCGTGCAACAAGAGCACTTTATTATTCCGGTAAGATATCAAAGGGTGAAACTTATCTTTTCCTTTTAGTTCAAAGATTATTGCCAATATGTTAGTTTTTATGAACTTGTCCCAGTTTGTCCGTATCAGTTCTTAGGATTTAGGATTCATTTGGGGCGGCTTTTTTACTGCTTCTTAAAGCAGCTTTTGAGTACAAAAATTTTAACTTTTGTACTAGAAAGCTGTTTTAAGAAGCAGTAAAAATTACGTCTCAAATGAAGCCTTAATGTGACAACCCCTCCATTATCCGCTAGAGTTAGCATAGTCATTATAATTAAAATTATCTAACATGCACTAATTATTTCCCGTCACTGTTGGAATGACTAAATATTGAATCTAACTTGGCCTATTAAATCATTTAATAAACTTATATTAACAGTCTACTAGTGAGAACCAACTTGCAATGGCACTGTAGTGCTGAGGGTTGGGGGCTGAGCTTTGTACAACACTGTTAATACCATTAGCTTTGCATAGTGGAACCCTATGGTGTCCGATATACAACTTGGAAGCCATCCTTTAAATTCCTTTGCAGTACAAGTTCATTAGGAATACTCTCCAAATGCAATATCTTTTGTATTACTCCCATCTTTTTAATTGCTCTTGCTTCTAGTATCTCTCAGAGAATTTTTCTTTTCTGTTCATATGTTTCACAGCAAATGTATTTTGATCGCTGTTGCAGACAAAGGTGTGGAATAATTACACCATTTGATGGTTTTTAACATCTTTTCATCCAAGTGATCCAACTGTAAATTATATGTTAGACATAGTGATAATGCATTAATGCTTACAGCTTTTATTCAAGTTATCTGGACAGCTTATTCTGATTTTGAACTATGTACTAATCAACATATTTTTAATGCATTAGGTAATTCTAGCATCGAAGATGCCATCAATTGGGTCTTAGAGCATGAAGGTGACTCAGACATTGATCATATTCCTAAGGTATGATTCTGATCCTGGATTTAATGCAATCACTCTTAAGAATGACATCCATCCATCTTTGATTTTCCATAAACCTTCAGCTCATCACAGCAAGAATATTATTGAATACTGTATCAAGTTGGGTTACTAATGGAATATGCATTCATATGGAAGTTTGGAATATTATTGAATAGTTTTGGAGACGGTTGATAACTGGAGATGGCTTCTAATTCCTCTCATAAAAATATAGTCGCATCTAATAAATTGAAATTCTTTTCTTTGGATTGCTGCATGCTACCTTAAATTTGATACAGTATTTAATTGGTTTTAGCAGTTTCAGGTGCCTATTGACATACAAATTGAATCTGGCGAACCATTACATACAGGAGAAGACATGGAGATGAAATTGAAAGATCTAAGGTTTATTTTAAGTTTTGTAATTCTCTGAAGTTAGATTATTTGATTAGTATCAGTTAAACGCTTATAATCTTTTTGAAGATGAATTGAATATATATGCCTTGCTTATACTGAATGAAAATAAGAGTACTAATTGATGTTATTTTTAAATTATCTCAAATAATAACTTATTTCCAATGAAATATGCATTATTTATTATAATATTTTCTTATTATTGAGAATATTCTCTTTTATTGTTTTTTTCTTGATTTCTATGCTCTAGCTCATATATAAACACATAGATGCTTATATTAGGAAGATACTTTAGTAAAAACTCAGTTCTTTATAATTTTCTCTGCCTTCTAGCTAGGTCAATGTGATTCCCTTTTTGTCTCTTAATTTTCTTTTTAACGAACTCTTTCAATCTGTCACTATTAGATCAGTCTAGCTGGAGCGGACCAAGGCAGTAGCCCGCCCCTTGTGTGGGGCCCACTATTTGAATAAAAAAATATAGAGGAGGGGGCGGTTTAGGAGGGATTTGAAATTGGGGAGGGCTGTTTAGTAAATTGGAGTTGTATTTGTATGCTTTAAATAGATGAGATTGTCTAGGGTTAGGATTATCTTGATTGTTTGATGAATTTGGGGGTCTTTTTAGGTTTGTTTTGGCTCAAGCCATCAGCCAGGGATTGAGAGAATCGAATCTTCCTCTCAAATTGAAGATCTATTATATTTTGCTTGCTTTCTTTCATCTATTATCAAATAAAGAGTGCCCCTATTGTTATTCTTTTATTTCTTCTCAAAAGCTGATTTGCAAGTTGTCGAATTCTGATTTCAGCAAGGGATTTATTCTATTTTTCACAAGTATTTTCTATCAAATTGGTGTCAGAGTGCTTTGATTCAAGGTACCAATACCCGGAAGGAAAGTAAAAGTTTTGGAAGGGGAACTAGGCCAATTAAAATTAGATTTTGTGGATAAATTTTTAGAATTCGAGAATAAATTTTTATCCGTTCATGAAAAGATGGATGGGAAGTTTGCCATCATGGAAAAAATACTGAGGAAATTGCTGGAGGCCCAACCTAAAATGCCAACGTTGGAGGCGAAGGGAGTCATCAGCAGCCAAGGAAGTTGTGGTAACCCTAATCCGCTTTGGAGAGGGGGAAATTAAGAGGTGGAGATTTTGGAGGGGGAAGATGGGATGCCTCCCTTAGAGCCTATTTCTAGTGAAGAGATGAGTAGCATGTATGAAAGGATGGGTGCTGATTTTGTAAGAAGAGGGGCTGGTTTTGAGCTTAGGGGTGAGGATTGAGACATAAGGAGATGTGATTTTGAGGAAGCTGAAGATGTCTATCTTTGAGGAAGAGGATGCATATGGGTGGATCTACAAGGTGGAGAGATATTTCACCGTCAATGGATTGACGAAGGAGGAGAGGCTGACAACAACTAGCCTATGTTTGGAAGGGAAGACTTTGGCTTGGTACTATTGAAGGGACATGAGACGACCCATACGTTACTTGAGGGAGTTCAAGGACTGCTTGTTGGAATGTTTCTAAACCAGTAAGGGAGGGGACTTTAGTGAAACCCCTTAAGTAAAAGAAACTAAACTCTTAAACATCGAGGGAGTGGTATTGACTATACAAGAGGTCCAAATGAGGGAGGATTTCCTCCCATTGAAGCTGGGAAACACTGATGTCATCCTGGGGTGAAATAGATACAAACCTTGGGGGATACCAATATTAATTAGGAAGCATTGATGATGGAGGGTAGAAGGGTGGTGGTCAGGGGAGATGCAAGATTGTCCAAAGCTATGGTGTCTCTCAAGATCATAGTAAGGACCATGCAGGAGGTGGGAGGAGGATTCTTAGTGGAGCTGCAAAGCTTAGAGGGGATTAGACTGGATTAAGAGTGAGACATTCCCCTTTCAGTACAATCACTCATATAACAATTCAGTGAGGTCTTTAGCCATCTCAAGGCTTACCACCACTGACGGAGTAGAAACACGCCATCACCTTGAGGGATCGAGGAGGTGTCACCGATTAGTGTTTGGCATTATCCCTACCCTCATAGTCAAAGAAACTATGCCGGACAAGTTCCCCATTCTGGTGATCTATGAGCTATTGGATGAGCTGTGTAGAACAGTGATGTTCACCAATATGGATTTGAAGTCGGGATACCATCATACTGGGATGAGAAAGGAGGATGTCCAAAAGGCTGCATTCAGGACACACGATGAACACTACGAGTTCGTAGTGATGCCGTTCGGCCTCAACAACTCCCTTGCTACTTTCTTGTCCCTTATAAATAGGGTATTCTGCCCATACCTTCAAAAGTTTGTATCATTTTTCTTTGATGACATCTTAGTGTACAACAAGTCAGAGGAGGAGCATTTGGAACACTTGAGGGTGGTCTTAGGACTGTTACAGGAGCAGCAGCTGAGGGCCAACATAAAGAAGTGTTATTTTGCATAGGCCAATGTGGAGTACTTGGAGTACGTGGTATCCAGGAGGGAGTAGGCGCTGATCAGGCTAAGATTGAGACAATGCTGAAATGACATCTACTTAGGAACTTGAGAGAGTTGAGGGGTTTCTTAGGGTTAACAGGATATTGCAGAAGATTTGTGAGAGGATATAGTACTATAGCATGGCCACTGATGGAAAAGTCGAAGAATAATAGTTTATTGTGTGGGGGGGGGGGGGAGGCAGCTACTCGGGCTTTTGAGAGATTGAAGCAAGCCATGACCACAATATCGGCATTGGCCCTATCGGATTTCAACCAGATTTTTGTAGTAGAGACTGATGCCTCATGGTATAGATTGGGGGCAGTGCTTATGCAGAATCACATACTTGTAGCTTACTTCAGCTAAGAATTGACGATCAGAGCTAGGCTGAAGTTATTTTATGAGAGGGAGTTGACTGCCATCATTTTAATGATTAAAAAATGGCAACCTTGTTGGGTCGACATTTCATTGTCAAAATAGATCAGAAGAGCTTGAAATATTTGTTAGAGCAGAGGATGGTGACCAAGGAGCATTAGAGGTGGCTATCAAAGCTGCTGGCTATGACTTTGAGATTCAGTATATGCCAGGATTAGAGAATAAGGCGGTTGATGCCTTATCCAGATGTATGTGGTAGTTCCATGAGATGACCATTTCAGTACCATTGATGGTAGATTAGGGGCTATCAAAGAGGAAATTGTGTAGGACGAGGTGTTGAAGAAGATTAGGATGGATACTGAGGGATGAGAGTAGCCACCCATGTTATTCTCTAAAGGGAGAGAGACTATTGTACCAAGGGAGATTTGTGCTGCTACGGACGTCGGTTTATATTCCCCATCCATTGCAGGAATTCCATGGGAGTGCTGGTCGAGGCCATTCTGGTGTGTAGAAGACACAAAGGAGATTGGCAACATAATTATATTAGAACGGGGTGCATAAGTATATGGAGAGATGGTGGCTAGGTGTGAAGTATGCTAGAGAAACAAGTACATGGCTATGGCTATAGGGGGATTACTTCAACCCCTAGCTCTTCCAGGCAGAGTCTGGGAGGAGGTCGCCATAGATTTTATTGATGGGCTATTCTGATCTGAGTGGTTTACAATGATTTCAGTGGTGGTTGATAGATTGAGCAAGCATGCTTACTTCATTTCCTTACGAGACCCTTAAACAACAATTATATTGGTAGAAACATTCATCAGAGAGGTGGTCAAGTTGCATGGGATACTGGAGTCGATAGTTTCTAATCGAGATAAGATGTTCCTTAGTCCTTTTTGGAGAGAGATGTTCAGGTTGTAGGGAATAGTGTTGAAGAGGAACACCGCTTACCACCCTCAGATAGACATGCAGATGGAGGTGATAAACAGGAGCCTGGAGACTTACGTATGGTGTTTTCCTTCAGAGACACCTTTGCTGTGGGCCAAGTGGCTAGCATGGGTGGAGTACTAGTACAACTCGTTGTACGACTTAGCTTCCCAAATGACTCCTTTCAATGTGGTGTACGGAAGAGATCATCCAGACTTAGTGCATTTTGGGCAGAGTAGCACACCATTCTCTTCAGTAGAGCAATATTTGGAGGAAAAGGGAGAGAGTGTTGGACGAATTAAAAAGGCACCTGCTGAGGGGTCAACAATTTATGAAGAAGTAGGCGGATGGGAACAGGAAGGACATTCAGTTCGCAGTTTGGGATAGGGTGTTCTTGAAGCTGCATCCCTACAAACAGAGGACAGTAGCCAACATGAGGAATGAGAAGCTAGCCCCGAGGTACTTTGGCCCTTATGAGGTTTTGGAGAGGATTGAAGCAGTGGCTTATCACTTGAGATTACCCTCGACTACTACCTTACATCCGATATTCCACGTGTCACAACCGAGGAGATCTATTGGGGATCATGCAGCTAGTTTAGAGTTACCAGTTTTACTGACTAAGAATTTGGAGGTGGTGTTGGGACCACTGGAGTTAAAAGTGGTTTGACAGGGAAAAGGGGGGATCAAGAAGGTGTTGATCAAATGATGGAACCTACCAGACTACGACGTCACATGGGAGTCATATAAGAGAGTGAAACATCATTATTATTAGACCGGCCCAGCTGGCCCAACACAAGGGCCGACTCCTTGTTTATGCCAGATGGATCAAGACAGCAGCTTGGCCGCTTGTGGGGCCCACTATTTGAATAAAAAAATAAAGAGGAGGGAGAGGTTTAGGAGGGATTTGAAATTGGGGAGGGTTGTTTAGTAAATTGGAGTTGTATTTGTATGCTTTAAATAGATGAGATTGCCTAGGGTTAGGTTTATCTTGGTTGTCCGCTGAGTTTGAGTCTTCTTAGGTTTCTTTGGGCTCTAGCCGTTGGCTAGGGATTGGGAGAGCCAAATCTTTCTCTCGAATTGAAGATCATTGTATCTTGCTTGCTTTCTTTCATCTACTATCAAGTATCAAATAAAGAGTGTTCCTATTATTATTCCTCTACTTTCTTGTCAAAAGCTGATTTACAGGTTGCTGAATTCTGATTTCAGAATGGGATTTCTTCTTTTTGACAA